CAGAAGAATAAGAGTCCAAGTATGGTAGCAAGAGGCTGGCATTGGGGCAGGAACAGGAAGCTGAGAGGTCACATCATCAAAAAAAAAAGCAGAAAGCAGAGTGAACCAGAAGTGAAAAGAGGCTTTAACCTCTCAAAGTCTGCCTCCAATGATGTATTTCATCAAGCCGGGTTCCTAAGCCTCGCCAAACAGCACCACTAACTAGGGACCGAGTGTTCAGATCTTTGAGACTAGGGAGCAGTCTTATTTAAACCACTATACTGAATAGGACCTTGACTTTCTGATCCCCTTACCTCCACCTCCCAGGTGCTGAGATTTCAGGTCGGTAGCACTGGGGGACAAAGCTATCCTCTGAGCCAAACTGCTGCCATCTTTTGGAGTCCAACTGGGCCCGCTTACCAGAGATCATCACAACTGGGCTTGTTGTACTCTTTATGCTCCCTCTTGGAAGGAAGGGATGGGGCGGGTCATTACCCTCACCTGCCTAGCCAGCCCTCCCAACCAGTTATATCCAATTCTGCCCTAATCACTTGTGACCGGAGGCTCTGGGAGGGGCTAGAACATGTAGGTGGGACAGATGAGGGGAGGGGAGGGGCCTCCATGGGGAAGTGAAGTCATCATCCCAGCTGGGTGTAGACTTTCCAGGGTGGGTACTTTAAGGCCACCCACACTCCTGCCTCTAAGTAAGCCTAAAAATCTCATTGGCTCTGCTGGGTAAGCTTTGGTGAAATTATACCCTAGCTTGTTCTTGGCACCTCAGGAGGAAGAGTAGACACTGTTTGTCACTTTCCAAGGGAAGAAATCTTAGCAACAATGAACACACCTGGTTTACGAGGTGCTAGGGTTCAAATCTAAGCCCTGATGCATGGTAAGGAAGGATTCTAGCAGCCGACCTACATCCCAGCCCCAACCACACCATTTTGACTCCCTAGAAGATTGTGAACATCTTGAATCTGCAGGAGGACCACTTTCAGTCATTAAAATGCAGAACTACCCAAGACTCCTTCCTCTGCCCCAGCATAAGGAAAGGTGGTATGACGTTCTTTCCTCCATAGAGCAATAGGCGCCCCTCGAGAACTGGCCCCGCCCCTTCTCTCGGCTTCTAGGTTTGTAATCAGACTTAAACTCCACCACAACCTGCTGAGGCTGTGCTGCCTCTGATTAAGGAACCTATGTGCCAAAGATGCTGCAGAGCTCAGTCACCATGTTCTGGAAGGGGGTCTTCCTGGAGAATCCCCCTGGGACTACGTTCTAAAACAGTGGTTCTCAACCTGGGGGGTCACGACCCCCCTTGGGGGGTTGAATGACCTTTTCACAGGGGTCGCCTAAGACCATCAGAGAACACAGATATTTACATTATGATTCATAACAGTAGCAAAATTAGTTATGCAGTAGCAAAGAAATAATTTAGGGTGGGGGGGGTCCGCAACACCATGAGAAACTATATTAAAGGGTCGCAGCACTGGAAGGTTGAGAAACTTTGCTCTAAGGACACTTGATCAAAGACATCAGGTTTGAAACACTAAATAAGGGGGCGTTTCTTGGGATATCTCTCAGGAAACAGGATTTAACACCATGAGAAACCCCAGAAGGTAGTTCAAACTCACAGCCTACAGTGGGCTCCTAACAGCTTAGAAAAAGTGACAGAAATATTGAAAGGCCAAGATTTGTTGGGCACACAGCAGAGGAAGGAATGAAAGTCATCAGGGAAGAAGGCATGCTAGAACAGGGACCCTGAGCTAGACGCCCCATCAGAGAATTATGTATGAGGACAGGACTTCATTATTCACCAGGACCATTGGAAAAACTGGGAGGAAAGACTGAGGTGGATCTCCGCTGGCTTGTTAGAACAATGTGGATGATGAGGAGACCATGATGGATCAGGCAGCAATAGGAAGGGCAGAAGCCAGGTGTGGTGATCATGTAATGCTGACCTCGAAATGATGGTCAAGGGGGCCTGGTCTGTAGAATATTATTTGAAGATGTGTTACACTTGTTTATGCTGTGGAACATTTGCTTAATGATGTAAAGATGTATTGCATTCTTTTATGTTGCATTTGTTTAACTCTGTGAAGCTGTGTTGCTTTGCCTGTCAAAAACACCTGATGGTCTAATAAAGCGCTGAATGGCCAATAGCGAGGCAGGAGAAAGGATAGGCGGGGCTGGCAGGCAGAGAGAAAAAATAAGAGAAGAAATCTGGGAGGAAAAGGAGGAGGAGCCAGAGAGCAAGGAGAGGAGGATGCTAAAGGCAAGCCACCCAGCTACACAGCCAGTCACAGAATAAGAGTGAAAGTAAGAGTTATAGAAGAAAAGGAAAAAGCCCAGAGGCAAAATGTAGATGGGATAATTTAAGAAAAGCTGGCTAGAAACAAGCCAAGCAAAGGCCAGGTATTTATAATTAAAATAAGCCTCTGTGTGATTTATTTGGGAACTGGGTGGCGGGCCCCCCAAAAGAGTAAAAACAATTACAGAGACAAGCAGATCCCTGGTGCTCACTGGCCAGACAGCCTCACCTAATCAAGCTCCAGGTTCAAAGAGAGACCCTGTCTCAAAAAACAAGATGGAGAGCAACTGAAGACATTCAGCATCAAACCTCTGATCTCCACATCTGGGTATGTGGGTGCATTCTCTCTCTCTCTCTCTCTCTCTCTCTCTCTCTCTCTCTCTCTCTCTCTCTCTCTCTCATGCAATGGAAGAACTGCAGTGCCGGTTCATTGTACTATGAGACTGAATTGATAGCTTCTGGAGTACTGGAGTGCTATAGAATGCTGGGGGAGATGGAATCATGAGACCTTAAGTGGTACTGTGCCCCAAACTTGGATCCTATAAGAATCGCTGCATTATAAAGCTGGCAGAGCTGGCAACACCCATCATAAAATGCAAATGATGAACTCTCACCAATATAAACACTTATTTGCATGTAGGCTGAGGAGAACATTCGTGTACAAACAATGGGATCTGTCTGGTATGTCATCTGACTCCCAGGATACCAGCTATAGAGTGCAGTGTATCGCCTGTGGGCGGAGGTAAGGGAGACACTGAAATGCCTTTTTTCCCTTGTCGTTGTAATTCCTCAAATGAACAGTTATAAAATGTCTAATACGAGCCTCACTCACGAAAGGCAAGCCCATCCCATCCTTTTTTTTCAGCTATTTTTTGATCTGTAGTTAGTTGACTTCATGGATACAGAACTCGTGGATATGGAGAGCAAATGTGTGTGTGTGTGTGTGTGTGTGTGTGTGTGTGTGTGTGTTCATTCTTGCCCCCACATGAAAGGTGACAGATTTCAATTAAAATTCGCCATAAATACTCAAAGAATGGCAAGCCACCCAAAGTGAAGACTGTTCCCACCGGTTGTGGTGGAGCACGCCAGTAGGATTTGCTGAAGGAGGCGGAGGCGGGAGGATCATGAGTTCGAGGCCAGCCTGGGCTACACATTTTGGGCTGGAGAGATGGCTCAGAGGTTAAGAGCACTGGCTGTTCTTCCAAAGGTCCTGAGTTCAATTCCCAGCAACCACTTGGTGGCTCATAACCATCTATAATGAGATCTGGTGCCCTCTTCTGGCCTGCAGGCATACATGCAGACAGAACACTGTATACCTAAATAAATAAATCTTAAAAAAAAAAAAAAAAAAAAAAAAAAGACTGTTCCCAACAGACAGACCAAATACTCACTTATTTCTCTGTAATCCTTAGAAAAATGAAGTGGAAATTTATCCCTGGTGCTTTCTAGCTTTCCGGCACGAGACGGGCCATCCGCTCTGCTCCCGTGAAGCTTGGAGTATGACCTAGCTCACTGGCAGAAGTGGTCCTCACTCCAGGAAAAGCAGCAAAGCCGAGGACATGCCATGAGCCTAGATTCTTCTTGCCCTGTATATTACTCACATCTGTGAAACCGCATCCCTCCACAAACCACACCAGTTAAACGACTGGTCCATCCATCACTCACGCTTTAGGATGCTCTCTTCTGGTGGTTTTCCTTATGTCTTTAGAGGCACTACCCAATGCCTGTGATAGTCTGTCTTCTTTCGGCCCCCACCCCCAGCACCGTCTGGGTCTCATTGCTTTTCACTTCATATACAGTAAAGTACTCAAGGATTCTGCAGCAGTAGAACAATTACACAGAAAGTAGAGATAAAACTGTCCAGGGGGATCAAGAGGAGGGATGGGAGGTGGAGAGAAGAGGGAAGAGATACGGTATGAGGAAAAACATGTTCAACAAACAATAGGTACTTTTTTGAAAACTTAAGAAACTTTAAAGGTACATACAAACAAAAAAGTTTCAAATATTGACTTTATAATTGTTTTATTCAAAAACAAACTTAAAAACCTAATAAATATCTTTAAAATGGGGATTTAAAATCATTTTATAATTAGTTCTAATGCTGTTCACCTTGCCTTCAAACAAATAATTGATATATTAAGTTCAAGATTTTGGATATCCACATACATTCTAATATTTTTTAGGTATGCAAAAACCCAACATGACCTTTCTAAGATTTACAAGAAATGATCTGTGTGCCCCCATGTGGTTGAAAATTGACCCAAGGTGTGTGTGTGTGGGGGGGTATTCCCGGGGCCACGTGTCATGTCGTTTGTGGCTGTGTGAAGTGCTTTGATTTCTACACAGACTGAGAAGAGTCTTCATTCTTCCCTGGAAGATGTATGTGAAAGGGCATCAAGGGTTCTGCATAGGAAGCCTTGTGATGCTTTGGCCTGTGCGGTTCGACTTCCAGATATTGTCACACGTTGTCAATGGCAACCCACAGCAGCTTCGGAAGCTCGTGTAACCACCGTGAGAAAAAGCAAGAGCGTGGTTTATTCTGGATGCATACAACCTGGAATGGGGCAAGGGGCACCGGGGCGTCATAGTAAAATAAATACTTCGCACACTTTGATCCCAATTCTAAAGCATGTTGGAATTCTGATGGGCAGAACCAGGAAGGGACTCAGAGACTCAACTCATACAAATACCAAAAAAAAACCCCACACAAATCAAATGGTGCAAAAAAAATCTTTTTAATCTAAAAATTCATTTCCCAGGGCTAGGTAATAGCCAACCCCTACCAATTTTATCATCAGTCCCTTTCACTAACAAGAGTCAGCATTTTCTTCAAAGTGAGATAATAGATAATAGATTTTGGTAAACCTTCTAAGTCAGGACACGGTGCCGTAAGCCGTTCAGGGGAAAAAAAAATAGCTGTATTCTTTTTCTTTGGTATAACCAAAAGGATATCCAAAAGTTAGCAAATGTCGACGTTTCAAGTGACAGACTGCCACTTGGAAGTTTAAACTCTGGTTTTAAAACACAACAACTCTTTTTAAAGGAAAAAGCTCCACCCACAGTTCTACAGTGCACGTTTTCTGGTTTAGTTCTGAAAATATTTTGTTTAAGAAGCAGGAAACAAACCCAGCAGCATCACTCACTCCCTGTCTCCTCTCCTCTCAGGAGACCCAGCTCTTCTTGCCTCTCTTACCTCATTCTCTCCTACACCAACCATCACCTCAACTGGCAAGGGCTTGGTTGCAACTCTAGGGAATTTATGTTAAAAAAACAAAAAAACAAAAACAAAAAGCATCCACCCATGCTTCTGACATCAGGCTAGAAGTGTGTGCAGGAGGCACAGGACACAGCCTCAACACGCCCATTTGTGTTTTTACAAAAGGAGGAGGAGGAGGAGGAGGCAGCCAGCAGCAGCAGCAACAGCAGCAGCAGCAGCAAGGCCCCTTCCCCACAAAAGCACCCGGACCATTGAGTTGCTTAGCCATTTCCCAGCCTCTTCGTGGTTTCCCTGTGTGTCTCGAGCTATATAGTGTGTGTGCATCCATGTTTAGAACCAACCCAATGCCTCTTAGAAGTAACAGCTTCAAGTCTCTGCTTAGTGAACTTACTCATTCCCATACCCATAATGCTTTGGAAGCAGTTACCATCATGGTCCAGAAGTCTCCACGACTCGTTTTTACCTTAACTCTGACTTTTTTCTCCTAATTCTATACACAATGTTAGTGTGTGTATGTGTTAGAATGAGGGCGTTCAAAATACACACATATACACACACCCGGCATTTTTGGGAAAAACAAACAAACAAACAAATAAACAAAAATCTTCCCCAGGAAGCACTTTCAGAAGTTGAAGCTTCTACTTGCTTTTAAGCCACGTGGCGAGTGAGTCCTAAGTGACCCGCAAGGCTGAGACCTCCCCAACACCAATGCTGAGTGGGGTCCCCACAAGCCAGGAAAAGGCCACATAGACTTCCGAGAGTGATGCACTGCCCGCCCGCCTCACTCAAGAGAGGCAGGTTCTGACCCTAACTCTTCAGTACCCCCACAGTGCTCCGAGAGACCTTTGCCCTCTGCCCTCCCCAGCCCATCCACAGAGGCAGGCTCCTCCCTACACAGCAGGCTGTCCCGGTCCACCATCTGGCCCTCCAGCCTGTCCAGAGAGCATCCCCTGGCAGCATCCAGGGCCCTGTGCTCTCTGTTGTCCGCCGGCTCGGTAGGTTCTCCCTCTCCCTCGGAGATGACGGTCATCGGGCTGCTCTGGATGCGGTTCCGCATGCTGTACCTGCTGCTGGCCGCAGAGGGTGGCGTCCGGCTGCGGCTGTACCGAGGGCCCGAAAAGGACAGACTCCGAGGCATCAGACCTTCGTTCTTGGCCCACTCCTCCTGGGCCCTCCTGTTCTTGTTGGGGGAGCAGCTGGACGGGCTGTCCGGGACGTCTGGCGAAGGCTCCGACCTGGATCTCTGGAATCGAGGGTCCGTGGACTTGAGCATCTCCGCGGCCGACATGCGAGCGCTGGTGTCCGAGCGACTCCCCTTCTTCAGCAGCAGAGCTTTGAAGCTGTCGCTGCTGGTAGCACTCTTTTTCATGCTTCTCTGAATGGACCCGACTTGCTTCGGAGAGGCCAGGCTAGGGGCAGCACCTGTGGGGGTCACTGGCGGGGAGGGGGAGTGATTCCGGGTGTGATCATCTTCTGAGTCTTTCCGGCCAAGGACTTTCCTTTTGGATCTAAAATAAAACAAAATTGAGACTAAGGTCAATCCTCAGCAACCCTTGCTGCAATCACCTGTCATCTTCCGGTCACCTCACTGAAGACACAGACAGACAGACACACACACACAGGTGCATGGACACGAGTAGGCACACACGCCAGACACACACACACACACACACACACACACACACACACACACACACACACACACACACCTACCATTATAGATGAGCCCAAGAGCCTCTCTGATATTATTTACCACCGAAGTCAGGGCACCAAATGCCCCCTCCCCATGACAGCAGAATGCGCCTTGAGTATTTTTGTTCAACAGTTCTGAGCAACAGTTAACAAGAGCAATGAATGAAATAAGAACAGCTTCAAATTATGGAGCTGGAAAAGAGTTTAGAAAGGGTCTAGTCTAATTGTGTATTAAATAAAGAAACTGAAATCTAGACAATGATCCCCCTCCCCCCCCCCCCACACACACACTCTTAGCACAACTCAGTCTTGATGGACCTTCTTTCCATGTAACTACACGTCTATATTGCTTACACTGATTACCCACCCATCAGAGCTACTCTGCCTTCTCAATCTTCCAGACACTAACCTGGGCCATGATGTTCTGATTTGGTTTTAAATGGTGAGTGTGCTGAGACACACACACACAAAAAAAAACCCACAACCATACTCTCTGAAATTTAGGGCCTTAATTGTAGATATAGAACTAAAAGGGATGGCAAGATTTAAAAACAAAAAACAAAAACAAAAAAACCCTGCTGTTTCTCAGGGGCCAGCTGCCTCTAACAAAATGAGTTAAATTTAAACTTCTGATGTCTCTGATTACTGTGTGTGTGTGTGTGTGTGTGTGTGTGTGTGTGTGTGTGTGTGTGTGTATGTGTGTGTGTGTATGTGTGTGTGTGTGTGTGTGTGTATGTGTGTGTGTGTGTGTGTGTGTGTGTGTGTGTGTTTAAAGATGATGGCTATAACAGGCATTTAAATAGTTAACGACGGCTTAAAGTCTAATTACTTCAATAAATATAAAAATGTCACACCTCAACTGGTGTTCTACACTTTCCATCTGGCTTTAAATCTGAAGAGAATTAATTTGCATGATAAAACTGGAAAGCAATGCTTTAGTTTGGATAGTCTTTATATATTACATCATGAATTTAGGTGCTGAAGGACATGAACGTAAAGTTCTAAGTGCCCCAGGCTTCGGATGGACTCTGATTACATCTGCTAATTTGGTACTAATCCCCCAACAGAAACCAGCACATAACCGAGCTCTTCTCTTTTCAATCCATTCCGAAGGCTACTTGGCCTCTAATTCTCCCACGTGGGCAGAAAATAATACAAACTGGCTGATTTCTGTGTCTGTAATAGATATCACTGTCCCTGTGGCAGAAACCACACATTCCTCGGTGCCTTCTGAAGGCTGCCAAAATCAAATATAGAAGAGACCCTTGGAATATTTTTAGGAAAAAATCTGCAGTAAGTTGGCTCCTCAACCGTTGGATTTCCTCAAGACTGAGTATTTAGTACACACAGCAACTTGGCAACACACATCCCTGTGGCTTGTGATTATAAATACAGATTCCTGTATATTTAGAAACCCAATGCATTCCAGCCTAAATGAAAGACATTAGGTCTCAGAAGAATTTCCTAACAGTTCAGTTTCGATTGGTTTCATTTAATTCAGAAAATATTTATTGAGGGCTTAGTATGTGTCTAACATGGCTACAGTAGAAACATCTGCATCAACCTCTACAAAGGTCACTTAATTTGCTTTCGAAAGATACATTTCTCATTCCCCTGTTCCGAGAAAGAACTAGAAATCTATCTCCCTGTTTATTTCTAATGAGATCAGAGAAACCAGTGACGGTAAAGGGGTTGGTCTTCAGGGTCTTTTAGACCAATACTATAGCTGAGAGATAAGATAAAGACATGCACATAATTCTTTGTCGTCTCAACTCGGTAACTCAGATTCCAGCTTGCTTTCCCCACGTCAGACGCTTCTATGTTGCACAGAGTTCCAGCGAAGGGTGGGACTTTGTTCTACGGCGTGCAACAACCTCTTAATTTAAACTCTAAGAATCTGGGAGCTGTGCTGGCACAGGTTATTTTATACAGAGAATCAAATGATTCTATAGGATACTTGGTCTTAGAAGGAAAATAAGGGACCATCACTCAGGTCCAAATGAAGTCTTAACAGTATAGAAATATTCACAAGAGTTATCAGAAAATCCAGTAGTAAGGAAATCTAAGCAGCAAGAGCATTTCCTTACATAGCATTAAAGTGCTTGTACATATCTGAATATGATGCCGCTGTGGAGAGACTCAGTTGTATACAGCCCAGCAACATAATAAACAAGGATGCAGTACGGAATCAGTTACTCTCAAGGGTAACTGTCTAAACACAGGTAACAAAGTTCCCTTTCAAAAACCGACTGACTGTACTTCTTTAAAAAGCCAGCAGGTGGCGCTACGGGTCTATAGTAGTAAATAAAGAGTCCTTTTCTGCCCCTGCAAAAGAATCATTATTATTACTCCTTGAGGGACTCATCCCTGCATGGGTACCAGCAAAGCTCTGCGACGTGGAAGAAGCAAGTGGAAAGGCTTTAGATCTAGATGTGGCGGACAACTTTAGAGAAATGGTGTGTTCCCGATACAACAGGACAGATATACAAACGAACTCACAGCCTATATAAAACGTGCAGAAGCTAGACAAAATTCCAGCACAAAAGAGGGAAAGTGGGCACAAAGTCACACCCCTCATCAAGAAGCTAGTCACAAATGATAGCTGCTTCGAGAGGAAAAGTCAGTTTTCTTCAATGTAGCAACCCTGGGTATACAACCCAGGCAGCTCAAGTACAGCTAGTCAACACAAATTGGACTCCTTGGTTTCTAGTGGCTTTAAAAAAAATAAATAAATAAATTTTTTTTGAGATACAGATTATGATGTTGGCTGGGGGCAGATCTTGGAGGAATTGGGGACAAAAAAAAGAAAGAAAAGAAACATATACTCTTGATGAAACATTGAAGGAGCAAAAAAAAAATTATGGGTTTTCTAAAACCAACCAACCAACCAAACAAAAAATGATAAATAAATCAACTAAAGCATTCTTAGGAAAATGGCTCTGCAGAGCTAGTCTGTGCACCCTAAGTCCACAGAAGGCAGCATTCCTCACCCTAGACCGGATCCAAATCTTGTAAACACTGGGTCACATGACTGACACACTCGATGTCTTGCCAGTCACGGCTGTGTCTACCGGGAGGCGTCACACGCTGTCTTCAATGCCATAGGAGAACTCAAAGGAACAAAGTAAAACAGAAATCGAACTTAAAAGAAAATCTAAGTCTACAAAAGACACTGAGAAATGAGGAACGTTGAATGAGCCATGCCCGGTTGTCAGAAGAAATCTCACAACAACAGGGGCGCCTTCCGGAACGAGGGAATGGGAAAGTGTATTAAAGAACGACAAAGGAGTTTCGGGTACCTGTGAATGGCTGCGAACAGGTCCTCTGTGGTCCTGGGTCTAGTGGGGGTCATCACGTCATCGCTCCCTTCTTCCTTAGAGAAGTCCCCGGCGGCGTCTGAGGAGGAAGCAGCTGTGGCGGGTTCCTGCAGCCCAGCTAGAGAGAAGACAAGAGGGCAAACACAAAATGCCGTGACTAGTGACTAGCACTTCGGTCCTTGGCCGGGTTCTGAAACATACCGCTTCCCTGCCATTCCTGACGACGTGAGAGAGCCACGGGGAAGCCGGGTGTGTCTGCAGTTGGAGCTTTTAGCAGAGAGAGGGAGACACAACACTCGCTGTCAGGGCTCCGCATTTTCTGCTACAGACTTTGGACTAAGTTGCTCTTAAATCTTGTTAAAACATTTCTTTGTAGCTCTTCCTGAGCAGAGATGACTCCTGCTACTGAATACCCAGTCTGCTGCAGAGCCAACCCTCCCACCCCCCCCCCCCACCCCCTTTTCCCTCTCTTCTCTTGGATCTGGAGTGTTGAAAAAATTTCACGAAGCAGCTTGGGTAATGAGGTGTCAGGAGCCCACACAACTACGGCCGGCTTTCCCCCCTAAGTCTGGGCTGCTTCACCTGGCTCCATGGAGCGCTCGGCAGCCCTAGTTGGCTCAGCTCCAGAGGATCAGAGGAGGACAGCAGAGAGCAGCCAGGCTTACCTTCTCTGCCCCGTTGAGACAGGCAGCTCTCCGCATTGTCCTCACCATCCACGCTGCTCTCGGCTGACTCTTCCTGTGTGGGGCCCGGGGAGGCACTGGGCTGGACCATGGGGGCATTGGTTTCCCCGCTGCCAGGGGACAAGGACCCTGCAGCTCCTCTTTCCGGAACCGGACCGCCGGGGGTGGGGGCCGGAGCATGAGAACCACCAGCTCGGGATGCTGGGCTGGCTTTCTCCTCTTGGCTGTGCACAGCCTCCCCCTCTGCCCTGGTAGGGCTGGGCACGCCTGAGAATGCTGCGCTCCCGTTCTCTGTGGGCTCCGCTGTGAAATCTCTCTGCGGAGGTGGTACCACCAGGAACAGTTTGGGCTTCTTGGAGATGGGGGGTGGCTTCCTGCTGGGGGAAGAGTCTGGGAGCGGTGTGGTCCTGAGGCTGGGCCCCGGACACGGAGCTCCATCACTGCGGCTCGGGAGGCCGCCACGCTCGGCTGCACTGTCATGGTCACCCTGACTCTGGCTCTTGGCAGGCGTCGGAAGCAGCGAGCTCGTCACAGAGGCAGGCTGGCTTTCGCTCTCCATTTCATTTATGCTATTTCGGGCTTTGAGGAGAGCAGATGGCTTTAAGTGATACTGTGGAGCAGTCGGGGTTCGTTGTTCCTGAGCCGATGGTTCAGAAAACGGGGCGGCCTCGGCGCCTGAGTTCTTTCTCACTGGCTTCAACTGCACCATCTGCAACGCTTCCGTGGTGATCAGGGGCATGGGGGGTCGGCAGCCCTCCTCCTTGCTGGCAGGCCGCCTGACGGCCTCCCTGGAGGATTCGGACTGGCTAGAGTCTTTGCAAGAAGGCCTGTTGTCTTTCATGAATTTGGGGTCCAGGGGTGGGGCGGGAGGGGGTTCTGATGAGGGCAAGAAAGGTGGAGGTGCTGGCAAGGGGGGTGAGGCTCTCGGAAGAGGGGGGCTAAGAGCCGTGGGGGGAGGAGAAAGGCACCTGTCTGAGGGGGAGCAGAAGGGAGCAAGAGCTTCTGGTGGTGGAGGGGGGAACACCGGAGAGGGAGGCAGAGGAGAGCCCTCGGAGCAATCTGCTAGAGGAGGAGGCGGTGGAAGAAAAGGGGACCTGTCTGCCAGACAGGGGGAGGGCAGAGGGGGGAGAGGTGGGGGAGGAGCAAGGGGCGAGGCCAGGGCTGCATCCAGTTTCTTCATGGTGCCACTTCCTTCAGTCGAAGTATTAGAGGAGAGGGACGTGGACGAGGAGGAGACGGACACGGAGGAGATCAGAGACGACTTCCTTTCTGGTACCTTGGGCTTGGCCTTCCCCTTCCCATTTGCTGGTGACATCGATTTTAAAAACACAGGCACGGGCGTGAGTGCTGTGGGTGTATTCGACTGGCTGGAATACCCACTGGATGGAGAGGTGACTCTCTGTGACTTCTCTGGTGAGGTGGTCTTTGGTTTACCCGAGTCACCAGGCACTTGGGGCATCGGGGCTCTGGACCCCTCTGGGATGGGGCAGACGGGCCCATTTCCAGTTGGTGCCCCACTGCTGCCAGAGCAGGCCCCCGGGGGGTTCCCTGGATCTTCCTGCAAGCTTGTGTAGTCAATGTAGTAGCCCCAAGGGTCTGTGTATTCTGACTTGACGCTGCTGGTGTCGCTCTGCGACGGGGTGACGCCGCGCAGAGAGTACACGTTGGGAGTGGTGGTGGAGGTCATGCTGCTGCCTTCACTGACAATGCTCTGGCTCCTGGACCGAGGGAGCCAGGGTTCCTCGAAGTCACTGCACGGGCTCTGGGAAGGGGAGCTGCCGCCCTTCCCAGGGAGGCTTTGCTGCAGCGAGTGCTGGAGAGAGGCGATCAGGCTCTCGTTGAGCACCTGCCCGTTGGACGGGCTGTTCTTCTTGGGGATCCTCCGCAGAGAGTCTGTCCGGGAGGGTGGCAGGGGTGGTTTCTTTGCTTTCTTCAGAGAGATGTTTCTGGAAAGGGATTTCTCCTGGTGACTGGCCTGGTCCCCTTGGCTTCTCTGAGCCCTGCCATCAAAAACGTTGACCATGCTGTGCCTCGGGTTCCCAAAGCCATCACTGATAGGGTACGAGGTCCCCGCCGTCTCATGTCCAGAATCACTGTGAGCGCTCACATAGTAACCGTCGTGGTCCTCCGAATATAGGGACCTGGCATCCTCTTTGACAGACGCCTGGTCCAAACTGCAGCTGCTCATGTTACTCGTGGGAGTAGAGCCACCAGGGGTGGCCGGGTGTGGCTTCAGTGGGGATGCCCGCCCATTGCTGGAGGCTTTGTATTCCCAGGGCTCAGAACCGCCATGCCCCCTGCCCCCTGAATAACTAGACTCGCTCTTGCCATCCACATCTGGAGGGTGGGCAGGGAAGCTCAGGTTGTTTCTGCAATGATAGGGTATGGCTTGAGACCCATTCTCCCTCTTTGCCGGGGCATTGAGAGAGCCCTCTGAATCGCAGAGCGATAACAGTGTGGTAGCACTGGAGGCCGACGAGGCCAAAGCCTGCGAATGAATAAGATGACTCTCACTCCAGTGATGACTGGGGGACTGACGGTCATCTTTCACAGAACATCTGGGCGTGGGGCGGTCTCTGGGTTTTATCTTTGAGTACGTGGAAGAGCCTGGCGTTCGACTGTCCAGCTGTCCTACACTCTGAGCAGTGTGAATAACAATAACCTCTGAGGAAGACAGTAGCGTGGCATTTGGGATGATGCTGGTCGAGTAGGATGCATGAGGCGAAACCACACACGCTGGACTCGCTATGTTCTCACCCTCTGAGAACCTCAGTGGCTGGGATTTGGGTCTCAAAAGCATTCCAGACCTGGAGGCACCTCCTAAATGTGCAAAGTTTTCACGGCCCCGTGAGTTACCCCCTGGGTAGGGAAAAGTATCATCCATATCCTCAGCAGAGCCCAGGGCACCCATCCTTGCCTCCAGTGAATAGGTGCTCGCTCTAGCACCAGAACGGGGGAGACTGTGGAAATCGGCATCGTTGTGGAGGCGAGACGGGAACACAATGCCGGCGGAGTCGCTCAGCACAGACATGTTGCCAGAGGAGCCCGAGAGGTGGCTCATCTGGGCCGCGATGCCTAGCCCTTTGTGCGCCCTGATCCTTCTCATGGATGGTGGGATGACTTTCCCATCTTCAGTCTGACAGCTGGAGTCCCTGGTTTCCGAGCGCTGCCCGGGAGACCGACAGCTACCAAGCCTTCCTAGCGTGGAGTAGTGGTCTGGGGAGTACACTGAATGACCGCTACCATCATCATCTTGGCCAGTGACCGATGCTGGAGATAAAGCAGAAAGAGGTGTGTTATCTGAAAAGAGAAACCCATAGGTTATTGTCACCTGTACCTCAGTACCCTCTGATTCTGTTGTAATAATAATAAAATAAAACAAAACAAAACAGTGTCAACAACAAAACCCCGCAACCTTTCCTATTTGATTCAGTAGCCAGTTGAGCTTAACTATTCCTGATATCTCCAAACCTTTACCATCAACTTCATGGACCTTTCTTTTTTAATTGGCACTGTAAATCATCCTGTAACATGAATAATGCACATGGCAGTCTTGGGTGCCCCCTTTGAGATCATGGTTACTGAGTATGGTGGAAGATGTGCTTCTCGAGTAAGTGGCTTTTGCAGAGTGTGGTGGTGCACACCTATAATCCCAATCCTGGGGAGGGAGAGGCAGACGGCCTTGAGTTCTAGGCCAGTCTGAGCTATTCAGTGACACCTTGTCCCCACAAACAACAGGACCCACGGAGAAAGGTGAGGAAATAAAGTGCTTGTCACACAATCCTAAGGATCTGACTTCAATCCCTAAAAACACACAGAACAGCCCGGCATGTGGGTAGCCACCTTGGCTATGGAGATGGAGACAGGTGACCCCAGGGCCCGCCCACTGGGCATCCACTCTAGCCTATCTGGTAAACTTCAGACTAGTGAGAGACCCTGTCTCATAAAGCAAGGTGGGTAGATCCTTCAGTCTTCACATGCACACCTATCTGCATGGGCACTTGCCCCCACACATACCCTACCCCACATCGCAAGCACACATTCACACACATACACACTACACACACACACACACCACCACCAACAACAAAACTGCCAAATAACTGTTAGTAAACATTTCAATGTAGCCTTTCCCCCACTAGGTAACAGAGCAAAGAACAGCTTCCATCAAGCATCCAGTAAATGAAGCAGTCAGACAATCGGGCCGTAGAGATACCATTCAAACGATATTGGTCTGAAACCAGTGTTAATTACATTGATTCTCCATGTCAGAAGGCAGCCCTAAGAAAAAGAAAATTGATTTATGGGCCCATCTGTGTTTCAAGCATTTCATTATCCATCTTAAGCCATTATCATCTGTCTGTTGGTGACATTCAAATCGCACCAGCAATCTGCTGTGTTCTGGTTGGGGGAAGAGCTACGGAACCGATCCAGGGAACATTTCCTCAAATTAGGGGTATTTATCTCTTGGAGTTTACAACCAACCAGAGAGAGTAGTGTGTTCAAAAGAGAAAAAAAGAAAGACAACACAAGAAGGGAGGAGACAAGAAGGAAGGGGAGATTAAAACTGTCACTGTGAAGAAACAGATGTCAAACCGCACAGAAAAGAACAGAGCTTAAAAAACAAATCGCCAAGCCAAGAACTTATCCAAAACACACCAAGAAATAAAACCAATCCCTGGGACAAATCAAATCCTTGAAGATAGTGGCAAAACCAGGGGTTTTATTTTAATCAGTCAATATGAAATATGTACGGGGAGAGTAGACAAATATAATTATATACCAACAAAATAATCCTACCGGATTGTAAAATATGAAAACTCTTAACGTGATATTCACATATATCACTGCATCACCTTGGGATTAAAGGTTATATATAGGTCATATGAAAAGGGGAATGAGAAAAGTGGGGGAGCTTTAAGTGGAGAGGGAGAAAGGATAAAAAACCCTAAGGATGTTGGAAAAAGCCATAGGGAATCATATTTTACATTTACCTAAAACTATATATAACATTTACGTGTTGCGCACATGGGTTTAATGGAGTTAAACAAATTCACAACACTTGGGGTGATAATGCTCTCCTAAGGAGTTATAGACCATCTAAAAAAAACCTCAGTACCAGGCATAAGAAATAGCCTTTCAAGTTGTTGGTCAGGGGAGCCCAAGTAACTCCCCAAACAATATAAGGTACTTCTGTTGCCCTTGGTGGCCTCCCGGAAGTTGAAGTATGTATCTATTGCCGAAGACACCACACTTTGGACATAGGACTTGGAGGAAGTGAACTGAAAGGCTCCTTTAGGACTGGCCTTCAGAGTACTATAACTACATTAGCTGCCAAGGGAGAAAAGCAATCAATAGTCCTACCCAGCTGCGACACTTAAATTACAACAATAACCAGCACGGCAAGATATCCCAAAAATGCAATAGTGGCACTTACATCTAAGCGGTAACCAACAGCCGTTTAATTCAGTGGTTCTCAGCCTTCCTAATGCTGTGACCCTTTAATACAGTTCCTGCTATTGTGGTGACCGCCCAACCACAAAATTATTTTCATTGATACTTCATAACTGTAATTTCACTATTGTTATGAATCATAAGGCAAATATCTGTGTTTTCCGATAGTCTTAGGCAACCCCTGAGAAAGGGTCAGTCGACCCTCAAAGGGGTCACGACCCCTAGGTTGAAAACCACTGGTTTAATTGGTCGTAAGGACCACTCAACAGAAAGGAGTTGAGGCCTCGTACTGTAAACCTAGTCAACTATTCTTGACTAGTGAAAGTTATGGGTTTTAAACGAGACCCTACTACATCCACTTCCCTAAACTGATAGAATTCCTAACTACATTCTAAATACTTATCCTTATACCCACAGGTAAGTGTGGCTTGTATCAAAGAAGCTTCCTTTTGTAGTAGATGAAGACTACGACAGAAATCCAGAAATGGTCAAAATGCAGAGAAAACTAACTGTGGGGTGCCCAGACCCAGCCAATACACATACAACACAACCCATATACTTAAGGCTCAGGAGCAGCGTCTAAGAAGAGAGAGGGCAAAGACTGCAAGAGCCAGAGGACCAGGACATCTATTTCATGATTACATCATATATAATATATATATATATATATATATATATATATATATATATATATATATTTATATGACTGCCTAGACAAGACCCCCACAATGACAACACCAATTGACATGTCAATGTGGGTGGGGGAAATCTCAAGGGGCCCATCTCTAGATGAAGAGCTATAGACAATTAATGACTTCTGAGAAAGAGAGAGACAGACAGACAGACAGAATTAGTCATGCCCATGGATGAACCTCCTGAGTGGTTATCCAATACCAAGTGGTCAGTCCTAAAACATGTAGAAAGAACAACACTAAATGAACTCAGTAGAATGTATTTACATATTCATTAATGTGTATGTATACACACATACACATATATAAATATATATGTATACATTTCACACATATATGTATTGTGTGTGTATATATATATGAAACCATGGATTTGGAATGGGGTCATGGGAAGGGTGGAGGAAAGAGGGGGAAGACAGTGTATACAGAGTACACATATGAAGACTTAAAAGGTAAATTTAACTAAAAAAGAGAGAGTAATGAAAAATGTGAATGTTTTTCTACTCCAGTTAAATGAAAAGCAACAAGTTAGAGGTCATCAGATATGCTTTGGAAGTAAATACTAAAGGAGTCAAGACCCAGGCCTTGCTGAGCACTGCTGGCCACCTTCAGAAGGACAAGGGTTGGGATTCCTAAGAATTCCCCTGCCCAAAAAACATAACCATCATAGTGTGTGTGTGTGTGTGTGTGTGTGTGTGTGTGTGTGTGTGTGTGTGTGTGTGTGTAACCTTATACTATGTAATAAATAACATGTGGCCCCTACATGCTCAACATGTGATGCTTGGTCAACAGGAGGAACTGTTCATGATAATTGGATACAAAGCTGTTTTTGCAAAGACTGATCGACTAATTAGAACTATAGTGGTGTGGAGGGGTTGGGATGTTGCAGGTCCAGAGGCTAATTATCTTATTTTGAGCAAGCTTTAGCCCCATCCACAGCCACTCCTTGCCTGAATCTGTGTTGGAACTAATACTCTGTGACTAATAGATAAAAACCTTTTGGGATCCGTTAAGTTAGAGGACCACTAGCTTCTACCAACCCAAAGCTGAGAGTATCATCAAGACAGCAAGTGAGGCATAAAGAAAAGCTTCCCTACCTTGTGTAACCACCTCTCTAGTGTACTCACCAATATATTTTAAACCTAGCTCGATTACAAAAGTCTTCTTTGTTCTGTAAAAATGTAAAACTTCATGAAACATGGAACATGGAATTTAGGGTAACCTAAATCTGCGTTCCTGGGCCACAGTCATTTAAAATTGGGTCTAGAATAAACTTTTTTTTTTTTCCAGAGACAGGGTTTCTCTGTCCTGGATCTCACTCTGTAGACCAGGCTAGCCTCAAACTCACAGAGATCCACCTGGCTCTGCCTCCTGAGTGCTGGGATTAAAGGCATGTACCACCACCACTCAGCAAATAAACTATTTTTTATTGAAGGAAGGAAGGAAGGAAGGAAGGAAGGAAGGAAGGAAGGAAGGAAGGAAGGAAGGAAGGAAGGAAGGAAGGAGGCAAGTGGACAGAATGGAGGCAAAATATCTACTTTAAGGATAGAAAATGAAAGATACAAGTTCCTAGCTCTCAGTGGTGTGGAAGGCAGGAGGCTGGCTTGTGTAGGTACAGCTCAATTCTGAATGGTCAAGGATATCTCAATTCCATTTCATAACAGGTCCTTTTCATTCACTACCACGGAAGTCAGCTGGAGATACGGCTTGGGGACAGAATTCTTTTGTGCCTAGTATGTGAGACTCGGGGCTTGATCCCTGCATGTGTTGTGGGGGGCGGGGGCAGGGAGAGGATAAAAAAGAGTGTTAAAAAAAAGCACAACCCCCTGCCCACAGATCTGCATAGTTTTGTGGTAGATTTTCGACCACTACTATTTAACTGTCCAAATAACCCAAACAAAAGCCGGATCCCTTTGGGTAAAATTTAAGGTGTGAAACCATTCTAGGCTCCTGAAAACAGAACCAGAGACAATGCTTCAATGATCTATAGCCAAGTTACAGCATTCTTCCTAAAATAACAATATTTCTCAGAGATGTTATAAAGATGATGAGAAACAACTAATCTAAAACCTATCTGAAGGACCACAAAATTTCTGTTTCCTAAATCTACATTCTACTATTTTC